ATAATTACAGCCTGTACCAGAGCTGTTAGTGTCTAAACCTTTAAGTTCAGTGAACAAGTAATAACTGGACAGACACACCCTTCAGAAATTAGAGGTGGGAACAGATTACCTCATTCCAGGCCTGTCCCATGGCAGGTCCCCTGCAGCAATACATCAGGAGACAGCCCTGGGCCCATGAGGTGTGGCAGGGGCTTCGAGGAAGAGGCCCGAGAACAGGCACAGGAGGCCAGTCCTGGGAGCAGCCTCTCCCTTCCCCTTTGATTCGACACTTCCTCATACCGAAACCTGGTCTGGTTCTAAAAGGCAAGTACTTACATTCAGATATTTAAAATATCATCTCTCTTGTAAATGCTTAAAGCTTTTCTACTTGAAGCTCAAAAGGGGTTACTAATAAAATAGCGTAGTGGTTACGAGTCTGGCTATTAACCTCAAGGTCAGCAGTTTGAAACTACCAGCCGTTCTGTGAGAGAAAGATGAGGCTTTCTGCTCCCGTAAAGACCTACAGCCTCGGAAACCCTGTGCAGGGTCACTATGAGTTGGAACCGACTTCACGGCACACCACCACCACCACCAATGGCTCTGAGGGTTAACACGCTGGACTGTAAAGTCCTTTTGAGTCACAAGGTTGGTGATTCAAGTTCACCAGTCATTCCTGGGAAACCCTATACAGGGTTGCTATGAGTCCAAACAGAGTTGACAATACTTAACAACAATAACATTAATAAAAAGATCATTATACCTACAAAAAAATAAAAATCATTATACCTCAGCTAATTCTTGATTTTACAAGCACCTCTGAAAACACAAGGTACTGAGTGGCAATTAATGGGCAATCCAACCAGAAGCCTATAGACTTGCACTTGAGGGGCCCAGAATGCAAGTTTGTGTGGCAGAAAACTACTCAGGCAACATGAGAAGGACACACACACACACACACACACACCTCCACGGTACCCCAGCCAGAAGGTGCTCTGTAGAAGGAGCAACACAGCTCCACTTCAACCTAGAGCACAACGCTGGGACACCTTTTAGAGATTCTGCAGCAATCCTGAACTGCTGTATCGGCCATGGTCTTGGTGGAGTCAAGAAGCTGTCCCAGCGAGTCCACTAGCTGACCGCACATATTTCACACAAGTTACCTAGTCACCTCTGCTTCAAGTTTTGTCCCCATAACTGTGCCTTCCCTGGAAGGCATTTAAGTTAATCATGCTTTTTTTTTTAAAGCAACATGTTAAAAGATCAGCATAGCTTGCTTACCAAAATATCTTGGGAGGAGGGCATGGTTGGCTAAAACATACCACACACATGCTGAATGTGTAAAATACGGTGTGTAAGTGTACAGAGCACCCACGACTTTAAAACAAGGAAAACGGGTCTTACTGTCTCAGTCCACCACACAGGTTTTGATACATATTGATAAAAAAATTCCTTGATAGTTCATTAGAACTTACTCTAACACCTACTCTTATTTCCAGCATCAGACCTTCCACTAATTTAAATATGACAATCCAGCAGAGGAGTCCTGGTGTGGTGCCAGAGGATAAGCACTTGACCACAAGGTAGGCGGTTCAAACCCACCAGCTCCTCCTCGAAAACCCTAAACAGGGTCACTATAAGTCGGAACCGACTCCACGCTCTTAATAACAACAATCTTGGAAGAAACCAATTACTTTATAATAAAACCTATTTGAAATGTATTTCCTGGGCTTTAAAATGCCTTAAAAATAAACAAACAAATAAACAACTAGCCCAGTGCCTGACTCATAGTCACCCAACACGTGGTTTCCAGACTGTAAACCTTATTGGGCCACCTGTCTCCTGCCGAGTGGCGCTGTGTTAGCAATGGCCCACCGCCGACCACTCAGTTGTAACCCGGTGTTTAGACTTTTCACAGTCCTTTTCGACCCATTACCATGTCAGAAGGCAACGATGCCACAAATACCAATCTACATTTGGTTTTTGAAAAAAGATTTTCTTGTTATTTTGTCCAAATATTACTATTTGTTTCATGAAAGTCAGGACTAAGACTTTAGTAGACTGTAAATTTTAAGCCAATGAATAAACAGTTGGCTTGGAAACAATACTGAATTGACATGCAAAGCATTTGCTACTCAGCCAAGTACTAAAAATAAAAGCAACTTCTGCCAACCTGGAAAAACTTGAATTATTTCAAGTGGGCTCTGAATTTGATGACTAGGTATCGCTAAGTTTGTTTTCCAAGATGGCCTGACAGAACATCACTGAGAACTCCCCAACCTTTATTATCTCTTTATACAATAATCGAAAATTAGCATCTCATCTAAACGAGAACCTCATAACAAATTTCTTATAGCTAGCAGAACATGCATTCATAACAGTTAATACATTTACTTAACAAAGGAAAATGTGGACATTTTGAAAATGCTAACACTGTATTTAAAGAATTAAAGTATTTTTATTGGAGTAAAGATTTAAATTCATTAAGGTATTTACAAGATAGCATTTTAAAGAAAAGGTATCAATGCAGTCGATGTGATTGTCGAGTTCTAGGTTGTTATTCGAAGTTCAGCTAACATGTCATTCCTGCCCTTGGCCTGTCTCTCCATATCTGTCTGTCTGTCTGAAAAATGAAGCCTGCTTAAAATGCGGAGTCTGAGATTTACAATCGGTTGCAGAAACCTGTTTAACTACTGATTTATAGCCTTGGCGAGGTATTTAGCTGTCATCAGAACTAATTAGAGCAAACCTGAGATTATATATTCAAACTCTCCTTTTGGTGAAAGAAATAGAATGTCCTACTGAACATCAGAAACATCCTGAGGCTCCCAAACAAAAATGCACTACCAACTTCCCTTCTGGAAACCAGTGCTATAAAGCTCACAATTACTGTTCTTCAGTAAGCTGTTTTAGCCTGAAGTACTTAACCAGTAAATCACGATTCCATACTGCCATACCGATGGCTTGAAACATATTAATCTCAGTTCCCAGTACCTGATGTTGACATCACTGATCTTCTAGTAGGCATTCTGGTGGTAGGACATGTCCATGTGTAATCTTCAGGGGCTCAGGTGATTACTGATCCAGCAAGGATTCTTATTTCACTGTGACCGGAATGGGGAGGACACTGTTGGGGAACCCCTGTCAGTCTAGAACACTGTCCGGAGGTTACTGCTTTCCACAATAAAACATCTAGTTTATGTTCAAGCTGGTGAGACAAAACTGGTCCTAAGCGATGTGCGAGCAGGACCTATCCAAGAGAGCCAGTCTTCCTCACCTTCCTGCTCCCTTTCCTTCCTTCTGCTCCACCGGAATGCTTTTGCACAAACCACACTCCTAAGATGTGGGCCGAGGAGCAACTTACTGGCATTGGAGCAGACTGAAGGGGAGCTCTGGAGCTGGTCTTTTGGTCAGGGGCTCTTAACATGGGACCCTACAAAGGCCACTCTGCAAGGGTCACTCAGCTGAAGGGATGTGGAAATGGGAAAAGAACAATGTGACCAAAGCCAAGGGGAAACGTCCATCCTGGGATGCTATGCACCGAACTGCTCAAAAACAGCATGTTTACTGTTGCTAACAGAACCACTGGCTTGGGGAGTGGGCTCTTCCCACAGCGTGGGTATTGAGAGGAAAGGCTCCTATACTGTTTAAGTCTGTCTTCACTGACAGGAGTTTAAGATGGGATGTTCTGGGTACAGGGAACATAGTCACATCAACAAAACTCTACAGGGAGTATTACGTTACAAAAAAAGAGTTGACACTATTCAAGCTGAAGACTTTTAATGAAGAATTCTCTAAGTTGATACACAATCTCCAACACCTTGCTTCCTCGGTATTGACTTTTCTCAAGTAAGTGGGTATCAGAAGCGCTGCGCTTTCTTAAATAGTAACTATTTATTCACGTGTTCAGGGACACGGAAGGCATTACATATGACACCAGAAATGAATATAATGTTACTGGAAGTCTAAAAATAACAAATAAGTATTACTATAACCATGACTTATTTTATATGTTCCTGAATTTATATCATGCACCCAGAGAAACTGACATTAGACAGCTAGCACACGGAGCCTGGGAAGGCAGTAAGGGGACCACTTAGTTCCTCCAGCTCCACTGAGCCTGGGCCCAGGCAGTGCCAACACGCCCAGGGCCTGACAAAGCCACCACGCACGAGGCCTGTCCTGTCACTGGCTGTCTCAAAGCCCCTCCCAGTTAGAACTAGGAAACGCTCCTCTGACGAATACGACACCGCGTGCTATCTCCCTCCTTCCTCCATCTTGAGGAATAAGGAAGAAGAGGAACCAAACAATCACACCATATTCTTAGAAGGTTTAAAGTCATCTTGTCCAGAGTTCTAACTGTCTTGCAGATACAATTATGCCATTCTCTCTTCTAAGAGCCACTTCGTAATTGAAAGCAAGTCGTGGCTGAGAGAGAGACTGGCAGAATTGGCTTGAAATCACCCTTTAAATACCCCAGTCTATGATGCTTTTTAGTGATTGATCTGAAGGTAAACAAAAATCGCTTCTATCATGGGACTGTGAACTACCCACTCCACTGCCTCCCAATAGTCAATAAGTACCTTTCCATAGCTGAGGTGGTAAAAGGCACTGGTAAAAGATGGTTCCCAGGGAGACTTCCTGAGCACTTAAGACCAATCCATTATAAACAAACCCAAACTGCAGATAAGTGCAGTTAACCCACGCACAAGCATGACAATACAAGGAGGTCACTAACTAGCAAACAAACACAAAGCAAAAGTAACTGTACCCAACAGACTGCGTAGTTAGCCAATGCTTCCTGCCATTTCTTTCTGCGGCTGCGCTTAGGTATCCCATCCCAGTAACAGAATGCTCTGCTCCCACAGGAAAAAGACAGAACCGGTCTGATAATCGACTCCCAAATTTTATGCTTACTTTGTCTACTTCTATCAGCTTTTTGGCATATTGAGAATCAGCAAGACAATCTTTTCAGTCAATTGTGCACTTGGGAGTCTAGAAAGCTCTTGAAGAACTCTGGCAGGTTACATATATCCCATGTTGCTTTTGGTTTCCCATCTCTTCTTTGCTTCAAATCTATAATGAAGAGCATAGACAGTTTCAATTTATTTCTAAGATGTAAGGATCACTCTTGCTAAAGCAGACTGTTTAGTAAGTACCCAAAGTAAAACAAATGTAAAAATCTTTCACATACTCCACTGATTACACAATAAACAAGATAAAGACCTCCACACTGGATTCAAAGAAGAAAATGAATCAGAACTACACACCAACTAGACCCATACACTGTATGAGGGAGGAGCTCTCGAACGCCTTTGAAGTTAATGAAGTAACTACTGAGACTCTGACACTTACCCCCATGCAAGTTTCTTCTTTTTTCGAACCACCTGTGAATGTTCAGCCTCCTTTTTGGCTTTTACAAAGTTGTGGCAGGCAATTGCTTTGGCAATTTTAACACCAAGCTAAGAATTACAGAAAAGGGAAAGAAAACAAAGTGAAAACTCAATCTTCCATTAATGCCAAAATTACAAAACAAATCCTTGAGAACCTGTGGGTATGGAAGTCATGTCTAGAAATTCGACATTCTCATCACACACCTAGAGCATAATGAGTTTCTCGAGGTGACCCATGTTTCCCTCACCTCTCCAGACCCCCTCACCCTGCCGCTCCCACTCTCCTAGCCAGTAATCCTGCCCACACGGAGGCCCCTGAGGGTCCACAGAGGTAGTAATGAGGCCCTTGCAGCATTTCAGGAGGCTGAACAGGGAAGCAGGCGTGATAAGACTGTGCACACTGACAGAGACATCAAGTGCCTTTGCTTGGGGCTAGAATTACAGCGACTCAGTAGGACCACATGGCTATCTCCTACTCATCAGGAGCTCTGATTGGCAGTCGGAGATGTGATTAATAAAACATGGGAGAGCTAATTACTCCTTCACAAATGCACTTTGTAGGATGGGCAATGGTGTTAAATTCACCCACAGGAAGAAGAATGCGATGGTGCTGAGAGGTGAAGGTGGGGCACTAGGACCATGGTACCTCCGTGAGGCTTCTGCCCCAGCCCCTTGTCCATGCTCCTCTGTACACCCAACTGCCAGTCCTACAGGCCCAGTCCAAATGGATCCACTTCCCAGAAGGCCTCGCTAATTCAACTCAAGCAGACGCCTCAAGGTGACCACGCTCACACACTTGCTCAGCCCAGCTCTCGGCTCTGGAGGGCCTCTCGCACGGTTCTGTCTTCTAGCATTTGTGGGCTCATATATGAAATGTCCGCCCACGTGGATGGCTCCAAAGTTCTGTGAAGGTCCAGTTTAAACAACAAAGGTTCCAGCTCTCGTCCTGGTATCCCTTGTTGTCTCCATCCCTGTACTAAAGGACAGGCTGGAAGCCACCGGAGCATCAATGTTGTGAAGCTCAGGTTGTGGGGCTCTGCTTCTCACCAGCACAGGCAGGCCGCAGATCAGGAGAGAAGCCAGTTTAGGGCTGGGAGGCTCCTGGCAGGCTTGACAATTCTTTCAGCTGACCTCGGAGAGCAGTCTGGCACTGACTAGAATTCACTAATCAGGCTGAGACTGATGCGACTGGTGTGAGTTTCCAGCCCAGGGAACGGACACCACGTGACATGAAATCAGGGTGCGGCACTGGTCAGTGGCAATAGGAAAGTCTCTGAGGGAAGCAGGGTGAGTTGTGAGAACCCACGTGAGACAGCAGAGTAGCCTCCGTGTCCTCCCCAAACTCACGGACAATATTCACTCAACAGACAGCGCTGAGAGCACGAAGGCACTCCTCTAGGAGCTGCAGCGGCAACACTGACCAAAACAGGGCTTACTTGCCTTTTGGGGGACTAGCTGCAAGGGATGCCTTCAATCCTGGCGTTGTCCTTGGGGTTCTCTTTATACTCGCTGTTCTTAATAGCAGCAAAGTTCATCTAAGACACTAACAACAAAAGGCTAAGAACCAAAGGGCTCTGGCATCATCATCAAAGACAAAGAGGAGACTCTGGAAGGACACTGTGGCACAATTTTGTCATGGGGATGGATTTCCTAGCCACGGAGAAACGACCCACTTGTCAAAGTAAAAATCAAGTTAGCCCCTGTCAGCCGATGCTGCACTACTAGACCAATGCTCACAGCTCACTGGTTCCTGTTTATTTCTTGCTCCACTTGAAGTCTGCCCTGGACTGGCAGGGTTCACTCCATCCTGGGGTGGCTGTACAGAGATATGTAGTTTTCATGGTCATGATGGCCAAGGATGAGAGAGCTGGCAGGGGTCACACTGGCTTTCATATGTGTTAGGCCAGAAGTGACAGCTCCTCTCTGCTCACAAGGATCCTCTAAATGCACAGGAGCTGGGGGGGTGCGGCGGTGCCTTGGGACTATAGGTGAGCTGTGAATGCACTGCCCACGAAGCATCACGTGATGCATGGAACAGAGACCCACAACTGCTCTGTCCACATCCACGTGGAGTGGTCTCTTCCTTGGCCAGTGATCCGGACTTTCCTATGAACTCCATCTCTAAGTGTTACATAACAAACGCAGATCTGTTATATGAAAGAGTGTTGTCAAGCCCCTATAAATAACGGAACCTCTCATAAAAAAGACCCACTCAGCTAGTCGATCTAGTATTTGAAGGGAGACTACAGGACTGTGGCTGTGAATCACAGGCCAATCAGAGAGGGCAAGATGAGACTTTCCACTGCCACATTTACAAGCCTTTGAAAACCCTATACAAGGTCACTATGACTGAACGGCAGTTAACAACACCCTTGATGCAAGAAACAGAAATGGCCGGAACCATTCTTGCCATGTAACTGCTATAAATGAAGCTCCGGAGAGAGAAAGCTGAGAGTCGGAAGCCAACAACACTGCCTTGCCGTTCTGGCTCTCACAAGTTGACCAGTCTGACCCTTTGCCCTCGTTCATGTCAATGGAAAATCCGTGAGTCTCCCCACTTCCTCTGCCAGGCTTTTCTTTCCTGCACGGGTTCTGGCTTGCGCAGCCTTCACTCGTTTGCATTTTGAATTTCTTGAGACTTCCCAGTATACGGTTTCCAGGAGTTAGGACCGACCAAGGAAAAGCAGCCCAGTGTGTGATTCTCACAGACCTGTCGTGAGTCATCCAACCCTGGAGCAGAGCCTGAGCCCATGTTCCTTAAGACACGGCACCACTTGTTGACAAGAATCCACTAGAACGTAGTGAGCAAAGCTCCAGCGGAGCAGGCGCCATCATTCTCTGGACAAAGCAGATAGAAGAACCGATGGGGTACATGGGCAGCACTCTAAAACAGACTTCTTGCCGTCCACGGCCTATTTTCAGCTGTATTTTCCCTTAGGTTAGACTAAATGTAATGTTCCTCAGCTGATAAACATTAAACAAGGCTGGCCTACATATTTTACAGGGAAAATTGTTTGGCTTATATTGACCATGACACGTCTTAGCCTTTCTAGTGGCCTGCATACACACTATGACTGTGTCTCACTTACTGATGTGAAAGAATGGACCATTTGATTTTTCCATTCTGTGGGCTAAGACAGTCGAGAAGAAATGCATTTTCCCGGCAAGATGACTAATTCAAGTACCAGACTACTGTGCTGTGTTTCAGTATTACACACACAAAGTCTAGGCTGGCAAGAATACCCCTTTTGCTTCTGTTGAGAAGAAAAATGCATCTTCATGCCCTGTGTAAACATCACAAAAGCTCGGTGTCAATGGTTTTCATATTAAAAAATGGTTTCGGGTCATCAGATAACTATAGCAACATGGTGTGGAAAGAAATGTCTTAAAATGAAAAAATATATATACACGTATACAAAAATATGTGTGTGTGTGTGTATAGTTTTTTGTATGTGGAACCGAAGTAACAGCGTTTTCCATATAGAACATCCACTATTTTGCTGCATTTTAATTAAGGTGTCTAAACATTATCACAAAGAACTGCAAATTGGTCAGAGCATGCGGTAAGGAAAATTAAGCTCTAAAGGCTTTTTATCACCATATTTCAGGAACCAAGGGTGTAAAATGTTCTAATTTGGGATATATTAAAAGCCATAAAAGGTCTTTCAAAAAGATTACTGGTACTTTGCTTGGATTTACGATAAGGGCTTTAGCTGGTTGGAAAAGCAGGGCCCTGTCTGGACCCTCGAGACGTTCATCTTCACAGCCACTTGGAAGATTTGTAAAAGCCGCTGCAGAACCGCAAGCAAATGCACGGCGACATTTCTGTAATTCCTTTCAATTTTACAGGTTTAGCGTGTGCAAATCACATCGGTTGTAAAATAGATATAATGGCACATCCCTTGTAATGTAGTACAGATTTCGAAAAGACAAACTTGCAAAACAAAGTTCGTTTTTCCGCGGAATCTGGCCAGTAATAAAGTTAGCTGATAATCACCTGAAGCATCTGATTCCAAACAGCTTCATCAATCACAACTGCACACTTCTTATCCATTTCATAAAGGATTTACTCATCTCCAAATTACTGGCGTGGCACAGATTTATGAAGTTTTCCTCCCTTTTGAACACTTCCAGGGCTCTTATTTAAAAATACCAATTATCATACTTTAACTTTTTTTATGGAATAATAGGTCTCTATGAAAAATATTTATGCCATTCTCTTTTGTTCTTTAATTAAATGAAAACAGATGTTTTCTGAAGTAAAGCGGAACCATTACTGGAGCCCTTAAAGTGTTAAGGTCTTTAATTTTTATATCAGTTTGGTCGACAATTCCTGATTGTCTTTACTCAAGCTCAACATTAATGTCAAGCAAGTTACCTAGGAGACGAAAGAGATCAAAGAGACAAAAACCCCTCCAATGTCTGATTAATCAGGCCTGCAAACAGCTTATTTCTTTGAGCCCGCATGCAAGTATGAAAATGAGATTCTGGGAGCCGAACATTGTGCAGATTTGTTCATTCTTATCAGAACAAAGCCAGCGGCAGCTTATTTCATGGATCATTGGCACTGCCGTCAGCGCTACACAGAACGGGTGACAGCTCCTCATTTTGAGGCTTGAACAAAATTAGCAAAAAGTCGGCACAAATTAGCCTCTCATCTTTTTAGTAATATGACATTATTCATTTACTTTTTATCCAATTTTTAATTTTTTCCTTGTCAGCTATCCCTTTCTAGTGTCTCTTGCATGGCATCATAAAATGCCTTCTAGAAACAAGCAAAGAAATAGCCACTGTGGAAAAAGCAAAGTTCAAAGAGCAAGGAAGAAACAGCACTTCCATTAACCACCGCCATGACTGCTGCTGGGTGGTGGCTTTTTTTGAACTTTCCAAACTCTGTGCTCATATGGATACATAGCTCGGGAGGCCATGCAGTTTTGGAGTTTCATGAAGTTGCTGGTCCACCGCAAGGAAGGATATGACATGGCAAATGTGTGTCACACATACCACAACTCAGTCTGGGGTACACATGAGCTTCCCAAAGTGAATGCAGCTTCTCCACTTTGAGATGG